GTATTAAACACTCAAAATCTAATGAAACATTTTGTTCAACCAGAAATGATAGTTTAAAAAAAAAAAAAACCTAGCTAAAAATTTAAAAAACACACTGGTTTTGGTTAGACCCAAAACAATTTTCCCCATCCCCACACTTATTTGGGATTGCCAGTAAAGCGAAAAATGTGTGATACATATAGCTCTACATTCAATTGTTCATTGGATTAGAGTAATCTCTAACAATCTGTAAAAATATAGATAGCAAATATTTGCATATAACTATCTAGGTACCTCTGTCATTCAGCACAGCTCAGACTTGCAAAGGGTTAAAAAAGCAGATGAGTGGCCTTGGGGTTAAGGCAGTGGGCTGGAAATCAGGATGTAAAAGTTCAGTTCCCAGTTCTTTCACCAAATTCCTCGGTGACATTTGTCAAGTCATTTAAGCGCCTTTATAGAACATATTCAAAAGGTCCCTAAGTCACTTGGGCGCTAATTCCTATTTTCACAAGTGGCTGAGGAGCGTAAATCTCATTGAGTCTCAAATTTTGAAAACAAAAGAGTGGAAATTTGCCCTCTGTGCCTGAGCTCATCTATAAAATGGGTATAATACTCCTCTGACTCACAGGGCCGTATCCATCATGTCACACCTTTTAAATCACATCTCTCAATTTTACTTTTTGAAAAAATAATAAAATGCACAATTATTGTATCTACTCTATTTCCACTGGAAATGTTATTACTAAAAGAAAGGAAATGATTAGATTGCTTGGCAAATTATTAATATGCATAATGTATTGTTTATCTGACATCAGTCAAAATATCTTTGCTGCTCTACAGTGACAAAGGCAGATTAAACAGCTAAAATCATAAGAGGCTACGACAACAAGGAAGTCGCATTAGCATAAAACTCATACACAAGCACCAGTGTGCCATACTGAAGTTCTAAAAGAAAATGTTAGTATTTTAGTAGTTTGAATGTCTTTGTGTAGTAATTTGAAATTCCACAGTTTACCCTAGACCAGAGGGGAGAACATTCCACAGCCCTTGGACTGTGGAGGTAGACTGAGCTAGTGGCTCGCCTATTTTGTAAGTCTGCTGTACTGACCACCATCTCCAAAGGCACCAAGGACTCACTATCAGGTAACTATCTTGGACCAGCCCATTAAGAGGTTTCAGAGTTTAACCCAAAATCTAATTCAATGAGTACCGACAAGGGTCAACAGCAGAGCAAACAAAGCTGCAAGTACGCAAAAGGCTCTCTTGCATATATTCAAGTGCAATAATTAATGCCCTCGCTCAGGGGTGGGCAACCTGTGGCTCCGGAGACACATGCAGCTTTTTGGCTGCCCCCTTGAGGGCAGCTGTTTTTTGAGGGGGTGCAAAGTGCAGGTTCTGGCTGGGAGGCGCTTACCACAGGCGGCTCCCGGCTGTCGGCGCAGCAGGGCTTTGGCCCCACGCTGCTCCTGGAAGCGGCTGGCTGCTGGCACGTCTCTGTGTGCCCCTTGGGGGGAAGGAGGCAGCGGGTCTCTGTGCGCTGCCTGCGCCCGCAAGCACTGCCCCCGCAGCTCCCGTTAGCCGGGAACCAATGTGTTTATATTCAAATTCAAATGGCAGAAGTCACATTAAAAGTATTGGTCAGTAGTAATAACTTTAATATGTTCATGTTTCAGAGTGGTAGCCGTGTTAGTCTGTATCAGCAAAAACAATGAGGAGTCCTTGCAGCACCTTAGAGACTAAAATTTATTTGGGCATAAGCTTTCATGGGCATCTGATGAAGTGGGTTCTAGCCCATGAAAGCTTATGCCCAAATAAATTTGTTAGTCTCTCAGGTGCCACAAGGACTCCTCGTTTTTTTAATATGTTCAATTATTGTTAGTTGATAAATTCTAACTCTACAAGTAGCTTTGCGTGTGATGCAGCTCTTAAAATATTTTGGTCAAAGACAAAAACCAAAAAATGGCTCCTCCTCTTTGATAGGTTACCGACCTCTGCCCTAGCTATTCACCTCCCCAAGAGAGGGGTTACTTCTGTAGAAAAATCATAAGAAAAAATGAGTCTGACAGTCTCAATGGGGCCTTAAGGCCTTAGCATCAGGAAGTGGATTTTCCCTGCTTTCATGTGTGCTTTGCAGACCACCAGGGACACATTAAATGAACGGACAAATAAATAACTACATCAAAAAAGCCCACAGCATTTGTCACAACTGACAGGCCCCATGCATGCCAGCGCTGAAGCAGAAGTTGTGTTTGAAAGCATGGAGAAGCCTGCTCAGCACTTAGGTGCATTGGAACGGATTGTACAGAAACCAGTGCTCACATTTGGAGGAGACGAAAGAAAGTTATGGTGCCAGTCTGGGACTCAGGAGGTCCAGGTTCAATTCCCTGTTCTCCCAGAGACTTCCTGGGGGACACTTTAGCAAGTCACTTAGTCTCTCTCTGCCTCAGTTCTCCCTCAGTAAAATGGGGATAATAGCACTTCCCTACTTCACAGTTAGTAGTGAGGCTAAACATATTAAAAACAGCATCTGTACACCTCTATGTTAATATGGGCCAAATTAATACCCAAGAGAAAAGGCTCAGGAGCACTTAAGTTTATAATCTTCAACATGAAATAGAAGGTGACATTAGTAACTATGAATGTTACCTGTTTGTAAAGACCTTCCTCATTCACGACTATAAGTTTAGGCAACAATTTGTGATGCACTAAATCTCAGGTGATTTTTTAGATAACATTATAAATTATGGTATTGCCAAATGTAATTTGCCTTAGAGAGCAAACATTAGGATGATGACTATTTAGCGATTATTTTAAAATGATCAAACTACAATAATGAGCCAAGTACAGCCTGCAGCTGCCCGGGGAATGCTTTCTTTATGCATTATTTCCTATATTGTTGCTTTTTTTTTTTTAATATGTACAGTTGCATAGGAGTTGGACTTATCTGGCACGGGCCACTGTCGGAAGACAGGATACTGGGCTAGATGGACCTTTAGTCTGAACCAGTATGGCTGTTCTTACGTTTCGAATATAGGTTCTTTCTTTTCGGTTACATAGCCACCAGCTGCATCAACAAATCAAGCAACAGGGTGAAGAGAGGAAACGGAACAGTTAGGGTGAATACAAGAAAATTCCTGCGAGATCTAGAACAGCTTCATAAGGGAAGTGGTGCATTTGGATTATTTTAAACTGAACAAAGCAGAAGTACAATGAACTGTTGGGAACAATCCACTACTGTAAGGGGGTGGAAGGACTATGGCATTAAAGATCATTATTACCCATTTCTAATTTCCATGATTCTGTGAAATTAGTGAAAACATGGACTTCTATTTTTTGATGTTGTTTCATTATTTCATGAAATCCTCCCAAATCTGGAGTGAATCATGCAAAACGTATTACGAACTTCTACTCAAAAATGTCCCAACAAGACCTGCTTAATTTTTTTTGTAAGTAGTTCCAAAACAAACAAACTGAAAATACATGCACTTGAGTTAGAAAAAAACCACAACAGATCTTTAAACAGAGTTTGCAAAACACTACACATACATGCTTCATTTCACACACACATAAAAACAGAATTTATTCAGAGGAAGAGCTCAAACATTACTGGAAAACAACTAGTGAGAGGCAAACTTCATAAAAGACCTGATTCAAAGTCCAATGAGCTCAATGAAAAGACTCCCGTTGACTTATATGGATTACTGATCAGTCCCAAGTTTAAGTGAGTGCTCAAAATTTTGGATACTTATCCCAAGTACTTTATCTGAATGTACTGGGTTTTTCAATATTAGCCTGGATATATTACGAGACTAGTTTCACGAGAGATGCTCAGGTATCCCTAGACAGGCCAGAAATAGCATAAAAGGCTGCATCTTTCTTTTGTGTGATTTATGTGGACAGCACCTAGCACGAGAGCCTTGATTAGGACCTCCAGATGCCTCTGTAATACAAACACTAAACAATTGTAGATGAGCACTCTATTTTGAACTGGAAACTATAAATGCAGAGGTACAAGGAAATGAATAATGGGGAAACAGGTTAACCACAAAAAGTTTCAGTTGAAGTTTGGATCAAAGTTTGGTTCAGGGGCAGGGCTGGGAATTCTGCTTTATCTTAACTGGCTTGCCCATCTCTAGAACCAACACAGCAGAAAGAAAAAACAAACTCTCCCAAAATATGGTATCTCCAGCTAAATATAAGCCATTGGCCTGTTACGATAGTGTAAAAAAAACGTATTTGGTCCTTATCCTACAAATCCTTATTCACATGAGTAATTAAATGGATGTAAAGAACCCTGGTAATTTACCATTGCAGTATTGGGCTCTGGTTGTGCTCCATGTATATAACGAGCAGATAAAATACTTCAACCCACCATTATGTAAAAGAAAAACAAAATTAGGCCAAAAGCTTAGACACAAGCATCAAATTTTTCTGTTGGTGCTCTAGGGCTATCGTTGAGAAATGATTGCTCCATAAATTCAAACAGCAAACACATGATTCTATGGCACCCACAATACCACACAGAGGTCTAGACCTATTCACTCCAAAATTGAGAGAAATAGATATTATAGACTAATAGATATACATACAACACACAAAAAGGACAGAAACTAAAGGATACGCTAAAATTCACTCTCTGAGAAGGAATGAAGTTAACCCTACCTTAAATAATTCAAACTCCTTCTTTGGCATCAACAGCTATCAACATATGAAAGGTATTTGTAATTAAAATAAATGTACACCATACATATTAGGTTTCGAATATTTGATGTCTGTCAATCGGATAACAGAAACAGAAGATCCAAAGGAAAAGATTTGACCTATTATAAATTCTGTCAATTTTATTTTTATTTTAGACTCTACATAACAGAGAAATAAAGTTCAACTTATATAGAGCCAACAGGAATTTTGAGGTTGCAGTAGAATTTACAGATTTTTGTTGTTGTTCTGCTTTGAACCACCTTACCCTACCCCATCATTAAAAATATAAATGGATTTTTTTTCTAAGGAACAAAGGATACCTGTATGGTGTGACTGTATGCAGGTTCAGAATGTCCTAAACCAGGTTCCTGAGGTCGCAGTGGATCCAAGATGTTGTTTGGCACAAACCCTGCAAGGCCACTTTTATTTTGAACTTTCCACCATTGTTTTCTGTCATCGAGGATCTGAAATCATTTGATACAATAAGTCAAGTTAAAAGGTGAATGACATTTATGTCAGGCTTGTTTTGAGGCTTGCATTGCAACACTTAAAGCAAAGCCCTGTCGTTGCCAGGATCTGGTCCAGCAACTGTCAGTTGTTCAGTCAGATTTAGTTCCTTCCTCATCACAGGCCTTTGCTCCCTCCCCACTTTCCATGATCCCTGATTCTTTTTTAATTAGATTGATTGCAATCACCGGAGAGAGGGCACAAATTTTCTACTGCCGTCTCAAATTGTGTCCGTTTCAGGTCAACTTGATTAACAACATAAAAAAATTAATCTGTACACCAGATTTTGCTTAGGACAGAACATCATGGAGCTGCACAAACTGTTTGGTGACCTCTACACTGACATCAGAAGAACTAACCTAACCAAACCAAATCTTAGATGCATACCAGTCAACAGTCAGGGAGTAGCCCAAACATAGAATAGTGAACAAACATTATCTGAAATCATCCCAGTTAGCTGCTTCATTAATATAGAAATACGTTGTTTATTGCTTTTAAACAGTCCGTGTTTCTAATACACATGCCTGACCAGTAATCATACAAGAAAAAGGACATTGAAGGGTATTTTTTTAATCTCATCTATAACTGATCATTAAGATTTAATAGAGGGAAAATGCATTTTTAATGTAATTCACCTGCTTCCTCCAGTTCGTCCACTCACTCTGACCTAACTAGAAGACTTTTTTGTCTCCTTTGGGTGTGTGGTGATTGTATTTATGGAACGTTGGCAGCTGGGTAATTGGGGATTTCTGGTGGCCGGTATGGGAACTCACTGCATTATGCTGCCTTTTATTAATTAAGCTAAGCCTGAAATAGATTATCCCTCATGCTCAATTCAGCTAAAGAATTATTCTAATCTCCACAGGAGGCAAATAAGACTCCCCACCAGTACAGAAGTCAAATGCTTCCAACACAGTCAATAGCCGAGAACACTTTAGAAATACAAATAATTGATTATAGTGCCAAGACACAGCTCTTATTGGTGCCTCAAAGAAATTACTGTAGACCACCCTTTGTATCATCATAATTAATATTTACACTTAGTAGCGTTTAGAGGTTTAACTCAGGACTCAGGTGCCAGTGTAGCTGGCACTATACTTACAGATATAAATACAAAGTTCCTCCCCCAAAGACCTTATAGCCTAACCAGTGATCTATGAAGGCTTGAGGGAGAGGGACATAAATAAAAAAAGAATATATTTGATTAAGTACCATTTTTTTTAAATTATATATTATGAAGTACCAACCATCTCTTTCTGTCCCTCAGTAGCTGCGGCTACACTTGAAGCTCAGGGTGCGATTCCCGGCTTGAATGGACATAACTCATCCAAGCGCTCGCTGAGCTCGTGCGCCAACAACAGTCGCACAGCCACGGCAGCACAGGCAGCCTCAAGTGGTGGCATGGGTTCGCTGTCCTGCATACTGGTAGATTTGTACTTGGGTGGCTAGCGCATGCTGCTGCCATGCAACTGGGGCTACACGGTTTGCGAGCTCGCACGTGTAGGTCTACTCCAACTGGGAATATCACACCCCAGCTCCAAATGCAGACATAGCCCATAAGCGCTTCGTTTCTTTGAGGCACTTAACAAAGGTGGGATGTGGAATAGAAAAAAAGAGTAGTGATCTTAAAGATCAATTCATATCGGGCATTCCCCATATAAGGGGTATAGTGGAAGCAGAGATATACATGTGTGAGAAGAGGACACACCCTTAAAGGTGAACATATGCACTCTAAACTGCTGGCCAAGGATAGTAATAACCTAAGGATATCATGACATTTTGGGAAGGTAAATAGTTGGGGAGACAGCATTGCTCCAAGAATAGGGAACTGGGCTGGTAGTCAGAGGTCCCAGGTTTGACTCTGCCACTGCTATGCAAGAACTCGGGCAAGAACTTTATCTCTTTGTGCCTCTGTTTCTCCTTCCCCCTTTTGCCTGGCTTGTCTATTTAGATTGTAATCTTTTCAAGTGAGAGACTGTCCCTCGCTATGTGTATGAACAATGAATGACTGGAAGAATGGGGTCTCTAGACTTTGTTATTCAAAGATTTTTAATTTTAAAATTCATATTGCAGAAGGCTGTGAAATCCCACCCAACTATTAAAGAGATGAGGTCTATAGCAACAAGTGATAGGTCAGCATGGAATCCCCATGCATCTTGACTAAGATACAAAATAACTGAACTTTCCATATTCCTACAGAAGAATTCAGACTAGTGTGTCAGAAGTCATCACCCCAAACATTCAGACTGCCCACAGAGAGGACGCCATCAGTTCTGGGAAGTATTAGAAATTTCATTTCTGTGTACTACATTACCTCTAAAATATCATCCTTCAAGACAGAAAGTTCACTGTGGTTTCTTGCCACAAAGTCATACTTGGATTTGGCATATCTCTTGGGCTGTGCCTTACCGTGTGCTTCATAATTTCTACAAAGCAAACAACCCAACCATTATTCTGCTAGACTTTCAAGAGAAGCAAGCAATTTAAAAAATAAAACATTTAAGCAAGCTGTATCCTGATAATCTATTTTAGGACACTTAATTGCCATAGAATTTACCAATGCACACTATAATCACCCATTACAACATTAACGAGCCAGCAAAAGACAAAAAGTATTAATTGAGTTTCACAGACCTCAAGAGTTGGTAACAATGGTTAGCTCAGAACTTGCAGTAAGTACTGTAATAATTTAGAGATTAGCAGATGTCACTGCATTAAAGTAAATCAATTCAATGCATCCGATTTATAGCTGTATTCCTGTAAAGGATTATACTGGATTTAATAGTCTTGTGTAATAAAGCAAACTGATATATTGGGAAAGGTTTACAATTTGTAGTAATTTACAAAGCATCTTATGTGCTTAAAGAAAGATTGCACTCTCTAGAGTGCATCACAATTTACATTTCAAATTACTTGTTTGTAATGTCTCCATGACTGCAGACAGAATGAATAATTTTCAGCATTAAATCCAATCAAACTAAATTGCCAATGTCAAAAATACTTGCCCACCACAGGTAAATTTTCTTATTTGTCCATAAGGCACTACGTAAACTAATAGCCCAGAGTCATTAGCTCAAGCGAGAATTAAAAATGACTTATGAGCAGTTAAAGGTAAAATTCATATAAAATTTAGTGGGATGAAGAATACAGAGTACAACACTCTCGTTCCACAAGGAAAGATCTGTTCAGATTCCTTTTGGAAAGTGAGCTAGTGGGTTCTCAGATGTACAACCAAGTCTTTGAGGTCAAAAGCTAACCCCCTCACCCCCCCCCCAAAAAAAAACAAAAGCAATATGCACCTAACGCAAATGACATGCACATCAAAACCACCATGTAGAAGAGTTAATGAACTAATGGATAATATAAACAGTAAACAAATAATGACTTTGAAATGCTGGACATAACATCACACCATGGAGAGGTAAATGAATTTTTACTGTTGGCAGTTTGCTGATTGTAACTACTGATCCCAAGTACATCCTTGAGTACTCCAGTAGTTACCTAGCTATTTTTGGCTGTGGAGAACTGTCTCACTTTACTTGAAGAGCAGAACAAAGGCATAGTCATATTTAGATTGTAAATCTATATATAGGTTTGAAAGAAAAAACAATACACTGAAAGCGATTAGCACATGTAAGGGAGGAAAGGAAAACATGATATGAACAATGTTCATACCCATAACCATAATTTAGTCATTACAATGTCAAAGGAGAGGATAGCAATCCCAGTTTTGCCTATTTTGTACTCACTTTTAAGCCACCTTATTGGTTTACAGTTTCTGATTGCCTTCTTGTCATTTCATTGAATGACTAATGCCCTCCTGATAGTCCTTACACATTTTTGTGCTGCCTTTTCAAACTCATCCCCCTATCTGCAGTTTCTAACCCTCGCTCCAATTACTCTCCCAATAGAAAAAAAAAATCCAGGTGGGATTTTCAAAAGCTTTCAGTTCAGCTTTAACTCTGCTCCTGTTGAAACGAGTGGTAAATTTCCTTGAGCAGAGAAAGGCCAGTGAAAATCCCACCTTTCAAATCTAGCTCCAGGATCCTCCCACTCTATTTATGCTTGATGATTCCCTGTGAAACCTGCCCACTGCACATGCACCTTCACTGAGGCTCCACCACATTACCAATTAGATACGATGTAGTTATAATCAACTTGCATTTTCCTATGTAGGCTGCGGTTGCAAGGCTTTCTGAGATACTATGTTACAAATGTTGGTGCAAAAAATAAGCTTATTTTTTGCATCAATATTTGTAACATAGTATCCCAGAAAGCACAATCAAGCACAAGTAGACTGGGAGGCTCTTGGAGCTGGATTTACATGTATGCTGAAACACCACACAACTTCATTAGAAAGCATAGTCACTAGTCATTCTGTGTCAGAGTGATGATGTAAACCATGCATCCCAGGTGTCCACTACTGATGTACTGTGAGATCAAAAGTCAACTGCCTTCCACCACCAAGAAGCGTATGTTAGTAGCCTCCCATTGCACACCCTAGCCCGTTAGTGAATGGCTCATTCAATTTAAGCGACCTTCTCCCTTTCTCTCTCTTTTCTTTTTTTAAATAGGGGATTACATGGAACCCTTCTTTGTCAAAGAAGTTTACAGCAGCAGTTTGTGGTCCGGCAGCCACTATCCACTCGCCTTCCATTACAAAAACTAACTTTGAAGTGCTGAAAAATTACCAATTTAGCTTCTATCGATAAAAAGCGAGTTAGAAGTGGCTGAGGATATGCAACCTGTAACTGAAATGGGCAGTTTGTTTTCTTCTTCTCAAGGCTACCCTTCCCCCTTCCACTTAAGCTCTCCCACCTCTCCACAATTGCTTCAGCACATAATTTTGAATTCAGCCAGTTAACACAACAGTTATAAGAATTCTGCCACCCCCCCCTCCACACACACACACACACACAGAGCTAAGACCTTGTCTACACAGGAAAATGGTATCAAATATATAGTTGTACCAGTATGTCAAGGTTCCTCCCCCACTCTGAACTCTAGGGTACAGATGTGGGGACCTGCATGAAAAACCTCCTAAGCTTATCTTTACCAGCTTAGGTCAAAACTTCCCCAAGGTACAAAATATTCCACCCTTTGTCCTTGGATTGGCTGCTACCACCACCAAACAAATACTGGTTACTGGGGAAGAGCTGTTTGGACACGTCTTCCCCCCCCAAAATACTTCCCAAAACCTTGCACCCCACTTTCTGGACAAGGTTTGGTAAAAAGCCTCACCAATTTGCCTAGGTGACTACAGACCCAGACCCTTGGATCTTAAGAACAATGAACAATCCTCCCAACACTTGCACCCCCCCTTTCCTGGGAAATGTTGGATAAAAAGCCTCACCAATTTGCATAGGTGACCACAGACCCAAACCCTTGGATCTGAGAACAATGAAAAAGCATTCAGTTTTCTTACAAGAAGACTTTTAATAGAAATAGAAGTAAATAGAAATAAAGAAATCCCCCCTGTAAAATCAGGATGGTAGATACCTTACAGGGTAATTAGATTCAAAACATAGAGAACCCCTCTAGGCAAAACCTTAAGTTACAAAAAAGATACACAGACAGAAATAATTATTCTATTCAGCACAATTCTTTTCTCCACCATTTAAAGAAATCATAATCTAACACATACCTAGCTAGCTTACTTACTAAAAGTTCTAAGACTCCATTCCTGGTCTATCCCCGACAAAGGCAGCATAAAGACAGACACACAGACCCTTTGTTTCTCTCCCTCCTCCCAGCTTTTGAAAGTATCTTGTCTCCTCATTGGTCATTTTGGTCAGGTGCCAGCGAGGTTACCTTTAGCTTCTTAACCCTTTACAGGTGAGAGGAGTTTTTCCTCTGGCCAGGAAGGATTTCAAAGGGGTTTACCCTTCCCTTTACAATCCCACTGTGTGGGCATTTTTATTCTGGAGAAGAGTGACTTTTTTCCACTTAGCTTAAACCTCTTCCCAAGTAACATAAGCTAAACCAAAAATAATGCACTTTTGTAGAGGAATGAGTGTCTACGTTTGACTATATTTATATATAGTTGGACTATATATATATATAACTATATTTGTTTACATTTACACCTTCACTTCTACCAGTATAACCTTCCCATACAGACACGGTCTAACTGGAGAACCCAACATCACATATCCAAGGTGCTGACTGTAATCTACTCAGACAAAGCTGAAGGGATGGGAAGGGAATAGCTCCTTTGTGCAAAAACACTCCCTTACACTGTGCTTGGTCACCACTTGTTACAATTTCAGAGCTGTATGTATAATTCCACACTGAGCACAGGGAAAAGAAAGATTTGATTCCTATTCTAAACATGGGTGTTAAGAATCAAAACTGGGGGTGGAGTGGGGGAGTAACAAAAAATTCCAAGGAATGGCAAAGCAATTCTTTGTATTTCCAAAAAGAGTAAATGGCATTCTACATTTGGAAACAAACCAAAAATAGGTTATGTTATGTCCATATTAAAAGATCCTGTGTTCTGATTCAGTCTGATAACGCTCAGAATTCCACTTCCATTAATTTATTGCTTTTGACAGAAGCACCCATTTAACAGTGTATACAAAGGGGACTTTAAATGGGTGCTCATGCAGAGAGTACTCTAAAGGAGCTTTATATAATCAGCACTAAATAAAGCCAAGCCAAGCACCATATTACAGGGAGGACTTTCTCCTTTAGGAAATGACGCACACTCCGGACATAGAAATAGAAGAACAAACAGAGACACCTCCACCCCAATAGTGATAAATTGGGACAGTTATCCACAGCTCTATACATGATGTCCATTCAGTGTTACCTATCTACATGTCGGCTAACAGTTTGTTTAAAGGCAGCAACAGCTGCCCCCTGGTCCAGCAGAGGCCCTCTTTTGTAAACTGTGTTACTGAATGCATACCCATCAGATGGAGGATAGTCTGGGACACTGGGATGCTGGAAAACAGAAAACAAAAGGGATTAACGTCATACACAAAGACAGCAGTAGTTATTTAACTGATTACAGCAACATCATCTGACACCTGTAGGTTCTCTGTCAGCATTCCCATTCCCTTGTTCTCTGGCGTTTGTTATTCTGACATGAAAATTTAATTATTTGTGCATTTTCATACATGAACAAAGAAATCAGAAGCATGAGAATAAAGAATTTGCATCCTAACTCAACCTATTACTTGAATAGTGCAGCTGATATTCTTCATCAAGACCGTTCTTTGGGGTACAATCCACATTATCACTTAAACATCCCTACAGCAGCTGAGTTTTATACACAGTGACTGGGTATGTTAACAAAACAAGCTACATCAGGCTTTAAGCCTTGTTTCTGGTTGCAGACGTTCTAACTCAGATAAACTACACACAATGCTGAGTATGTGTCTGGAATAAGAGCTATTCAGTAACATTATCTTATTTTAGGAGTACACAATCTTATTCTCTAAGGTCCCAGTTCTGCCACCCTTACATTGAGTAATACCTTGCTCTGCAAGTATCCTAATGAAGTCAGTAGAGCTGTGTAGACAGAAAGGTACTACCCAATGGGAGTAGGGGTGGCAGATTCAGGATTTAAATAAATCAATTTTATGTGAATGTGTCAACAGCATATAGAAATATTAAAATCTTTGCTGAAGACTGAAAAGTACGTTTGGAGGGTCTAGGTGGTCTTGTTGAATGGCTGCCACTGTATACATGCCAATAACCCAATGTACATCCAATGATGATATTTTTAATGCTGTTAATATAATTATACCATCACCCAGTTCCAAAAAGCAGAGCTATACACTAAGGAGTTAATTTCTGGGGATTCTTACATGTAGGCAGTTGAAGCCACTTATTTTAGGCCTCCCTTCCTCCTGCTATCATCAAAACAAACTAATATGGCACTGATAAAGTAGCAGAGTCTAGTGAACCGAGTACAAACTTGGGAGCCAGGAGCTGCCAAAAATCTGAGCCTGGCTCTGATTGTTACTTGTTATGTGACTTTGGGCAAATCTCATACCCTGTCTGCGCCTCAGTTTTCTCCTTCTGACAAATTCCTCACAATACCCCTCTGAAGTAGGTAAGTATTATCATCACCAAAATTTGAAAATGTTTGTAGAGTAACAGCAATATTACAAAAACCTAGAAACACCATCAAGTGTTCCATGGCTTAGAGTATGTATGCAAGAAACTGGGAAATAGTAAGTCACCTTACTTCACAGACAAAATTATTTGTGTTGTGGTAGCCCCCATGGACTCCAATCAAAATTGGCTCCCCTCTGTGATCTGTGCTACATAAGGGCAGAGGAAAACAGTCCCTGCCCCCCAAAATTCACAATCCAAGGAAAAGAGCCTAACAGCACAGCAACAATCATACGCAAATCTATAGCGTTTCCATCATAGTTTCTCATTTGAAATAATTATTATTGAACTGACTGCACATGCAACCCTTTCAGTGGAAACACAGTGTATACAACTGTATCTTAAAATTCAGGGATGGGAAACGTTCTCATGAATCAATCTCTGATCCACGTTGCTTGACACCAGATCAATCCCTAGTTGCAAAGGTTAGGAGCTGTAACCATGGGAGCAGCAATCATATCATTATTTAACACTGAGTAGCATTTCTTTTTGGAAAAGGATGCCCTGTAGGAAGAAAGGAACCCCAGGCGGATGAGGTTTGAGCTGTGTTATGCTGGTACCTGCCTAACAAATGGATCACAGTGTCAGTGATTGTTAATGGGATCTCTTGTCATGAAAAGGGGGAGAGCTCACATATTGCTCCAATTACCAGCGGACTACCTGGTAAGAGTGACATAAAATGAAGAAAAATGGATGCACTTCAGGGAGATACTGATAGGAAAATACATATTTTCACCATCATGTCCCATCTGATTTTTCTCTTCTGCTATTGTCAAGTATAACCATTCAGCAAAACAGATAACTGGTTATTAAGGCAGCATTTAGGTATCACCTTCTATATTGTCTTTATAGTATACACAAACAACATTTGGCCCTTCATCGTATCATTCGTCTGAGAACCCTAAAGCACTTCATAAGTATTAAGCCCTGGTCTACACTAGGACTTTAGGTCGAATTTAGCAGCATTAAATCGATGTAAACCTGCACCCGTCCGCACGATGAAGCCCTTTATTTCGACTTAAAGGGCTCTTAAAATCGATTTCCTTACTCCACCCTCCACCCCTGACAAGTGGATTAGCGCTTAAATCGGCCTTGCCGGCTCGAATTTGGGGTACTGGGGACACAATTCGACGGTATTGGCCTCCGGGAGCTATCCCAGAGTGCTCCATTGTGACCGCTCTGGACAGCACTCTCAACTCAGATGCACTGGCCAGGTAGACAGGAAAAGAACCGCGAACTTGTGAATCTCATTTCCTGTTTGGCCAGCGTGGCAAGCTGCAGGTGACCATGCAGAGCTCATCAGCAGAGGTGACCATGATGGAGTCCCAGAATCGCAAAAGAGCTCCAGCATGGACCGAACAGGAGGTACGGGATCTGATCGCTGTTTGGGGAGAGGAATCCGTGCTATCAGAACTCCGTTCCAGTTTTCGAAATGCCAAAACCTTTGTCAAAATCTCCCAGGGCATGAAGGACAGAGGCCATAACAGGGACCCGAAGCAGTGCCGCGTGAAACTGAAGGAGCTGAGGCAAGCCTACCAGAAAACCAGAGAGGAGAACGGCCGCTCCGGGTCAGAGCCCCAAACATGCCCCTTCTATGATGAGCTGCGTGCCATTTTAGGAGGTTCAGCCACCACTACCCCAGCCGTGTTGTTTGACTCCTTCAATGTAGATGGGAGGCAATATGGAAGCAGGTTTTGGGCACGAAGAAGAAGAAGAAGAAGATGATGATGATGAGGTTGTAGATAGCTCACAGCAAGCAAGCGGAGAAACCGATTTTCCCGACAGCCAGGAACTGTTTCTCACCCTGGACCTGGAGCCAGTACCCCCTGAACCCACCCAAGGCTGCCTCCTGGACCCATCAGGCGGAGAAGGGACCTCTGGTGAGTGTACCTTTTAAAATACTATACATGGTTTAAAAGCAAGCATGTGAAAGGATTACTTTGCCCTGGCATTCGCGGCTCTCCTGGATGTACTCCCAAAGCCTTTGCAAAAGGTTTCTGGGGAGGGCAGCCTTATTGCATCCTTCATGGTAGGACACTTTACCACACCAGGCCAGTAACACGTACTCGGGAATCATTGTAGAACAAAGCATTGCAGTGTATGTTTGCTGGCATTCAAACAACGTCTGTTTTTTATCTCTCTGTGTTATCCTCAGGAGAGTGAGATATAATTCATGGTCACCTGGTTGAAATAGAGTGCTTTTCTTCAGGGGACACTCAGAGGAGCCCATTCCTGCTGGGCTGTTTGCCTGTGGCTAAACAGAAATGTTCCCCGCTGTTAGCCACGGGGAGGGGGGAGGGTTGAGGGGATAGCCACGCGGTGGGGGGAGGCAAAATGCGACCTTGTAACGAAAGCACATGTGCTATGTATGTAATGTTAACAGCAAGGTTTACCCTGAAAGGGTGTAGCCACTGTTTTATAAAATGTGTCTTTTTAAATACCGCTGTCCCTTTTTTATTCTCCACCAGCTGCATGTGTTTCAATGATCACAGATCTTCTCCTTCCCAGAGGCTAGTGAAGCTTAGAAAGAAAAAAAAACACACTCGCGATGAAATGTTCTCCGAGCTCATGCTGTCCTCCCACACTGACAGAGCACAGACGAATGCGTGGAGGCAAATAATGTCAGAGTGCAGGAAAGCACAAAATGACCAGGAGGAGAGGTGGCGGGCTGAAGCTCAAATGTGGCGGCAGCGTGATGAGAGGAGGCAGGATTCAATGCTGAAGCTGCTGGAGGACCAAACCAGTATGCTCCAGTGTATGGTTGAGCTGCAGCAAAGGCAGCTGGAGCACAGACTGCCACTGCAGCCCCTCTGTAACCAACTGCCCTCCTCCCCAAGTTCCATAGCCTCCACACCCAGACGCCCAAGAACGTGGTGGGGGGGCCTCCGGCCAACCAGCCACTCCACCACAGAGGATTGCCCCAAAAAAAGAAGGCTGTCATTCAATAAATTTTAAAGTTGTAAACTTTTAAAGTGCTGTGCTTAAAGTGCTGTGTGGCATTTTCCTTCCCTCCTCCACCACCCCTCCTGGGCTACCTTGGTAGTCATCCCCCTATTTGTGTGATCAATGAATAAAGAATGCATGAATGTGAAGCAACAATGACTTTATTGGCTCTGCAAGCGGTGATTGAAGGGAGGAGGGGAGGGTGGTTAGCTTACAGGGAAGTAGAGTGAACCAAGGGGCGGGGGGTTTCATCAAGGAGAAACAAACAGAACTTTCACACTGTAGCCTGTCCAGTCATGAAACTGGTTTTCAAAGCTTCTCTGATGCGTACCGCGCACTCCTGTGCTCTTCTAACCGCCCTGGTGTCTGGCTGTGCGTAACCAGCAGCCAGGCGATTTGCCTCAACCTCCCACCCTGCCATAAACATCTCCCCCTTACTCTCACAGATATTGTGGAGCACACAGCAAGCAGTAATAACAGTGGGAATATTGGTTTCGCTGAGGTCTAAGCGAGTCAGTAAACTGCGCCAGCGCGCCTTTAAATGTCCAAATGCACATTCTACCACCATTCTGCACTTGCTCAGCCTGTAGTTGAACAGCTCCTGACTTCTGTCCAGGCTGCCTGTGTACGGCTTCATGAGCCATGGCATTAAGGGATAGGCTGGGTCCCCAAGGACACATATAGGCATTTTAACATCCCCAACAGTTATTTTCTGGTCTGGGAATAAAGTCCCTTCCTGCAGCTTTTGAAACAGACCAGAGTTCCTGAAGATGCGAGCGTCATGTACCTTTTCCGGCCATCCCACGTTGATGTTGGTGAAACTTCCCTTGTGATCCACCAGAGCTTGCAGCACTATCGAAAAGTACCCCTTGCGGTTTATGTACTCGCCGGCTTGGTGCTCCAGCGCCAAGATAGGGATATGGGTTCCGTCTATGGCCCCACCACAGTTAGGGAATCCCATTGCAGCAAAGCCATCCACTATGACCTGCACATTTCCCAGGGTCACTACCCTTGATATCAGCAGATCTTTGATTGCGTGGGCTACTTGATTAACAGCAGCCCCAACAGTAGATTTGCCCACTCCAAATTGATTCCCAACTGACCGGTAGCTGTCTGGCGTTGCAAGCTTCCACAGGGCTATCGCCACTCGCTTCTCATCTTGGTATTCATGCGCCTCAGGGCAGGGGAAAGCAAGTCACAAAGTTCCATGAAAGTGCCCTTACGCATGCGAAAGTTTCGCAGCCACTGGGAATCGTCCCAGACCTGCAACACTATGCGGTCCCACCAGTCTGTGCTTGTTTCCCGAGTCCAGAATCGGCGTTCCACAGCATGAACCTGCCCCATTAGCACCATGATGCAGGGCCTATGCTTTCAGAGAAATCTGTGTCCATGTCCTGATCACTCACGTGACTGCGCTGACGTTGCCTCCTCACCCGGTATCGCTTTGCCCGGTTCTGGTGCTGCATATACTGCTGGATAATGCGTGTGGTGTTTAATGTGCTCCTAACTGCAAAAGTGAGCTGAGCGGCCTCCATTCTTGCCTTGGTATGGCGTCCGCACAGAAAAAAGGCGCGGAACGATTGTCTGCCGTTGCTCTGACGGAGGGAGGGGCGACTGACAACACGGCTTACAGGGTTGGCTTCAGGGAGCTAAAATCAACAAAGGGGGTGTCTTTACATCAAGGAGTATTTCAGGCAGGACTTCACGGAGGGTTCCAATAAGAAATGGTGCACCTAAGTTATTGTTCTTATTGGAACGAGGAGGTTAGCTTGGCCTCTGATTGATACATGGCTAGATTTACCTCGCTGCACCTTCTCTGTGAGTGACTGCAGTGTGATCCAGAGGAATGAGTCCCCTAGACAGGGGAGGAGGCAAATGAGTACAAAACAAATCTGGTCTACTTCTTGTTTTGATCCACTCCATCTATCTTTTACATCTTTGGCTGGCAGCAGACGGTGCAGAAGGACTGCATGCCATCCACATCTCATGGCTGCTCGGCAGAAGATGGTACAGTACGACTGCTAGCCATCCTTATCTCTTGCCCGCCTGGCAGAAGATGGTACAATACGACTGCTAGCAATCCGTATCGCCTGCCTGCTCACCATAAGACGATTCAATAGGACTGACTGCAGGACTAAAGATAATGACCTGGTCAAGTCACTCCAAATTTAGTCCCTGCGCCTATGTCTGCCCAGGCGCTCCCAGCCGACGTGGCCAGGAGCACCTCGGACACGACGAGGACGGCTACCAGTCGTATTGCACCGTCTGCTGCCAGAAGGCAATGGGTTGCTGCTACTGTGTAGCAAAGCCGTACCGCATCTGCCAGCACCCAGGAGACATAGGGTGACGGTTACTTGAGCGGGCTCCATGCTTGCCATGGTATGGCGTCTGCACAGGTAACTCAGGAAAAAAGGCGCGAAACGATTGTCTTCCCTTGCTTTCACGGAGGGAGGGAGGGACCGGGGGCCTGACGATATGTACCCAGAACCACCCGCGACAATGTTTTAGCCCCATCAGGCATTGGGATCTCAACCCAGAATTCCAATGGGCAGTGTAGACTGCGGGAACTGTGGGATAGCTATCCACAGTGCAATGCTCCGGAAATCGACTCTAGCCTCGGTACTGTGGAAGCACTCCGCCGAGTTAATGCACTTAATGCACTTAGAGCATTTTCTGTGGGGACACACACACTCGAATATATAAAACCGATTTCTAAAAAACCGACTTCTATAAATTCGACCTTATTCCGTAGTGTAGACATACCCTAAGTCTCAACACCTCTGTGAGACAGGTATTATGAGAGCCATGCTGCCAGTGGGGAAGCCAAGGTATAGCAAGTTTAAATGATTTGCCCTAGACCACACAGTGATTCAGTGGCAGAGTCAGAAATTGACAAGTCCTGCCTCAGTGTTGCAAGCTTCATTATGACAAACTTTATTTCTTTTTCCTAATCAACCAAACAATTACCAATTAAGACAACAAAATGTTATAGGAGCTTAAAGGAGTGCAATCAACTTAAAAATCACACTTCTATCTGGAATATTTTTTAACTTAATACAACTACAAATGATACCTATGATGATTATGTCTAAAAGATTAGAAGACACCATTCTCTGTTTTCTCAGATTGTTTATTTTGCACTTTCACACAGAAAACAAGGAGAGAAAAGCATTAAATTAAAAAAGGAAAGTGTGATTTTAAAACAACAACAAAATGTCAGAGGGACTGAAGGGCAGCTTAAGTATTAGGGAAATAGTCAGGCGGTGTTCAGAATAAGTGAATGGGAAACATGTCTGACGTCTTCAGGAGACTATGTCCTTTGGGATACTTCTTATCCTACCTTGTTCATCTCCCTGCCTGCTCCCCTGGACAGCCATATCTTTATATAGACATCTCTGCCACAAAAACATTTGCCAACCCACAATGTATTGGCATTTCTTAAGAAAGTAGCATTCATGTTAAATATATGAAACAGACAAAGGGCCCCAGAGACAGGTACAGCCAAAAAGATTGATTTAACCTATAAGCCCTAAATGATAAATATATGTTTTTACATACTGGAAAATGCCTTTTCAACAAACAAAATCAGCCAAAAACTGATTTTTTAATTTTTTTTCCCCATAATGAAACCCTGAAAAATTCCAGGAAAGTGATGAAAACAAACATTTGTTTTCTTGAAAACTCTTCATGCAAAATAAAGGACATTTCCCAACCACCTCTCAATTAAACTTTGAGGGGGCTGATGGTAGGGGACTCTCCCTAAAAGCCCTTTCACTCTGGAGTACATGTCCATCCTTGGTTTCCCAGAGCTCAGATTTGCTAACCTTCTCAATGTGCCCATCTGTTTATTAAGAGTTTGAAGGAGGACCAAGGGGATGGGAGTGGAGGGGGTTGTTCATGAGCCTGAATGTTTTAGTGGGCAAATACAGTTAGCTATATTTCACACACAGACTATTATATTAGATAATATTGTGTCACTTTGAGAGAGCTATGGGAGTTGAGCACACATATCGGAGGGAAAAAATGGATCTTTAGGCCCTGGATTCCACTTTGAATTTAAGACAGTAGGAAAAATCTCCATCGAGTTCAATGGAACCATGAAGCCACTGCACAAGCCTGGCTTTTACCTGTTGCACAGTCTAAATCTAGACTAATGCTACTGACTTCACTGGAGTTATTCCCAATTTACACTGGTGCGAATGACATTAGAATCTAGCTCCATGGGCACTTCATTAGCAGCAACACCATTCCACAGTGCAACTCTTAGACGGTTTTGTTCATGGAGTGAACGGTTGGTCTGGTCTCCCACCTACTTTACAAAATACCGTAGCAATTAACCTACCTCAGCTGACATTCTTTTCATTTCGTGTTTCCGTTGGTGCTCTGCAACATTTGCAACAGACTCAGCCAACTGATTTAGTTCTTGTTCATTTGGAGCTCCCATGAAACTCAGCAAAGGAGGCTCCCAACCATTTCTGAAGCGTGGGATATAGGGTGGAATAAACTGATCTTTGGGCCAGTCCACTCTGTATAAAGAAGTCAGAGGCATATATCAAGATCTGCACAAGTTATTTTCAATAGTCAATCCTGCAGGTTCTCATGAAATGCTTTGCAATTGTTTACTCATGAGGAACTTCTAATTGCAGAGAAGGAAGCATTATTTACTGAGGATATCTATGCTCCCCCTTTACATAGCACAGAGACAGTCTCTGCCCCTAGGATCTTCCAACGTCAGGACAGACCATACAAGTTCTGACACAATGCGAAAGATGGATAGCAGGAGGACCAATCACAAAGGAGCATGGGATTTGTTTTATCTTTTGAAAACAAAAGTATTGCAGTACCCCTCTCTCTTGGGGGGTAAATATGCACAGGGTTCACAGGAAAGGCATGCTTTAAAATGAAATCTGCAAAGCAAATATGGAGGCTGGGAAGTAACGAGGACCTAGCTAAAACTAAGAAGCTACAAGAACAATTTCTTTTGTCACACGAATTATTATTATTAATAATAAACCCCCCCCACACAAGAGTAAATGTAATCACTACTTTTGCAGAACTGAATTTTCTAATACAGATTGCTTTTTTGAAATACAGTATTATTTCTTAGAGATCCACTGACTTTCACCATCTGAATTCACTGTATCAGAAGGAGTTTTTCACGGTGTGCTGTGCCTATGTACTATATATAAAAAACACTGCCTTGCAGTTTGAATTATTGCCTCTTAAAGGAGAAATGGGCCCTGGAATGCACTTAATAGTTTCCTTTAATGTTTCTCATTATGGGCATTGTTGAAAATGAATGAAGGTGACAAATGCTATCAAACCAGTTGTTGGACCGGCTAGCATTTCACAGGACACTGGCATGTCGATGTTAACTTATAGCTGACCAGCAAACTCTGGGTTTTTAACGATTATCTTGTCAATTAGTGGCACAGCACGGCTAAGCTGCACAGCACAGTAGCACAATAGAAACATGGGGCCAGTCCCACCACTATTTCTAAGATTCAAAGCTTGCTTGCCCTTCATTTACATTCCTGTATTCCTCCCAATCCACCACCACATATTTCTCTTTGGATTAAATTATTGCTTTTTAGGGGACTGGATGGCACAGAGGATTCGTAACAGGATAATGAGTTCTATTATTTAGGTCACTAGTTCAGTTCTAGCACAAGGCTCTGATCAAGCAAAAGAATCCCTTTTCCTGGAGTTCCAGTGAAGTCAATGGGTCTCTGCATGGATCGACATGGCCTTTGCTGGATCAGGACCTAGGTCAGTAATGACTGGAAGCTGCTCTTTGGTGGCAAAATGAGTTTGATATGCTCAGTCCAGTTCCTAGCAAGCCAGGAGCAAAACAAAACAAAAAAGCACCATTCAGCTGGCACCTCTATTACCAGTCTTAGTAAAAGGGCCAAAGGAAGAATAGGCTTGGAGATTCTTGCCCCTAATGATAGTCCACTTCATGAAAGCAAGGTACCATCATGAACTTTGCACTACCAAAGCCTGTGCTTTGCACTACCAAAGCCTGTGCTCTTTCTATTCTGTGGATGTTCATCAGCTACTCTGGCTTTCAGATTCCAGAGTGGTCAATGCAGCAGTTTTCAGCAGTAATAAATTCAGTATTTATTAATTATGTAGATTGATGATTAGTCATTTGATCTGGTCCCTGAGTGGGTGGATGAGTAAATTCAAAAAGAATGGACACATTTCTGATGCAAGCCCTAACACGCTTATTGATCACCACCACCACCTCCTCAAGGGGCCACAGGTTTAAGAGATACTTGATTCATCCCAGGTTTTTTAGAAGTTCTGTTTAAAAGTCTTTTATGTAAGCCCAAGACCATAAAAGTAATTAGATAAACTTGTTATATTTATATACTCTACAGTTCACAAGCAACATGCATGAAAAGGTCACATTTTTTATGAGTCCCTAACCATAAGCACAGCTGAATCTATTATTTCACTATTTAGGATCCCTTAAGGGTAGATCTTCAGTGTGATTCAATCATTCACTCAATGACACTTCTTAAAAAATTTAATCTTTTTCTTACAGACTATAAAGATGCTTCAGAGACATTAAAAACCATTGCAAGTCTCTGCTTTTAATACTATGTGGGCTGTTCAAAGTAGAAATTGCTTTTTAATTCTATTTATATAATTTTGTTGTAGTTGTTGTTGTTACTAAATGCTGCACTACCCTGAAATAGATTGTTAATTGAGTCCAGCTGGTTGATGACCAAATGATGATAGAAGGGGGAAAAGAATGGAAAGGACCGTTCAAAGAGAAGGTGGGCAAGAGAATATGCAATTAAGCCCCATCCTCCCAATATCACAGACAGAATAAAATCAATGTTTGCAATTGTCCTCATTCTTCCAACACGCCCCTTCAGATTCCTAAAGGGCCCAGTCCAACTCCCATTGAGATCAACGGGAGTCTTTCCACTGACTTTAATTGGAGCTGGATCAGGCTCAAAGCAAGCAAAAATTTAGACTACTAAATTTAGACTACTTGCTTCTTTGGCTGATATAGACCATGTTAATAAATCCAAATATATATTCAAAGATCATCTATAAAATCAGTAAAGATATTTTTGTACCTGGCTTTGGTCCACGTGTCACCCAATGACATCCATAGTTGTCCTTCCTCACTATCGATAGTGTAACGCAAGAAATCTATGGTATCCTTTGTTAGGAGAGGGCTGAGTACCGTACTAGCGAGCTCTGGACCTCCAGTTGCCTGCACCACCTAAATCAAGATTTTTTTTAAAGAACTATTTATTGTATTGAGGAGTAACAGAGAATCAGTTCTGACAATAAACCATGTAAAATTTAAAGCAGCAAGAATTCTAGGCTACCCACTCTATTGGTGGCTTTTGCCAAAGTCTGATGTACACACAAAGTTATACCTGTTTAATTAAGGGCTTTTGTGCACACCTAGAACACTCTGAGGTAGTCTCGACAAATAGGACTACAACAAAGTGCATCCATGGACATTTACTACACACCACGGGGATTTAAAGAGAGATTATGTTGGAGCGCTCTGCAATTTATATGCCTTTGATGCACACGGTGTACTAAAACTCAAAATCTGTATAAAACCACACCTTTTAGTCAAACCAGTTCAACTTTGTGTGCAGACACTCTTATATCTGTTTAAACTGGCTCATATCAGTTGACCTTGTGCCTGTAAATTTACAGATGCAAACTAAATTTCTATAAGTTAGGTTTAAACAGATATATGAGAGATCTCACACAAAAGTTGAACTAGTTTGTTTAAACAAATTTAAGTTAAACTAATACAACTTTTATGTGTAGACAAGCTGAAAATGATGACTGAAGTGTCCTTCCAGCCCATCTTGTCCAGGACAGGTCAAAGATTCAATAGAGTAAAGGAAAGTTTAGACTTCTGTGTAAGAATCTGTGTAAAAATTCTGTCATGAAGCAATGTAAAGATGATGCATGGCGTTCCATGAGGGAGCCCAACCACCCGTTCAGAATCATCCAAAGCAGTTGAGTAGTATGATCAGGTTTACAAGGCAACTAGCACCAGAGCCAAGGGAAAAAAAGGGGAAATAAGGGACAAGATTGATGGGGGACTGGGGCATGTTTGGTGAAAAACAAAGAGTAAACAAGGATAGGAATAAATGGGGAACACAGGGAAGAAACAGGGAATGGAAGAAAAAGTGGTATGAAAAGCAGCAGGAACATCATAGAAGACAGTGTAGAAAGAGCCAACAAAAAACTATAGAGGGGGAAGGGGACTGCCTATTATTAAGGTTACTCAATACTTCCCATTATAAGACCCTGTTTGCAGTAGTTTATAACTTTACCAGACTTTAAGTGTTTGAACTGAAATTTTCCATGCCACGTGTCTGCTTCAAGGCTCATGTGGTGTTTTGTTGTTTTGATTTTTTTTGTGGCGAAGGGGGAAACTTTTCAGACAAAATGATTCAGCTGTTTCCAGGAGTGGGGGTAGGGAAACGTTTTTTTTGCCCATGTCGAAAACATTTTTTTGAGATGCTCTAGCACCCCCATGCTTTGGGGCAGGAACTTGGAATTTAGCAAGGTGTGTGGTCTTTGCATCTGGCCTTTTGCTATTCCTATGAAAATCTACCCACGGTTGGCCAAATTTATAAGCCTTTGAAATCTCTCATTTAGCAACTAAACTCTCCAAGCTAAACTCTCCGAAGATTTCATGAGCATTAGCCATGCTCCATCCAATCTCAGCTCCTACTGCGGACCAGATTGCACATGCACCATCTCTACAGCATGAATGAGCATGCTTTAGTCCAGAGTTTACAGGGAATCTGAAGGGCTTCCTTATAATTGCTGTTCCCAGCCAGACAAGACAAGACAAGACAAGACAAGGCACCAGAACTAAGAGCAGGGAGCCTGAGCCTACCTCTCTCTGGTGCTCTCAATGACTTCCCTGCTGACACCAGGCAGGATAGAGGAGGAAGCCATCTGATTTGAATGAAGAGGGAACCAGACCAGGGGTAAGAGAAAGGAGTAGACAGTCTTACTAAGCTCCTTGTTCCTAAGACTGGAGTGGGAGTTGGGGAGAGAGGACAGAGTTCAGAGGGACTATGACTGTTTGGACAAGGAGACTGGGACTAGGAGCCACAGAGGGCAACAGGGGATGAGATTGGGAGTCAGTTGGCAGGGAGGCAACATAGATTGTATCAGAAGTTGGAGGATGGGAGGAGACTGGACTGATTGGGCAGGGAGACTGGGACAAGGAGCCAGGGAGAGGGAAGACACAAATTGGATTAGGAACCCAGGGAGGAAGACTGGGACTAGGGAATGAGAACCAGAGAATGGGCCTGGGACAAGGGAAAGAGTGGGTTGGGTGCAAGTTAGAGAGGACAAGCTTACAGTGGCAGAAAGGTCTGTGGCCACTAGAGAGATCTCCAGACCCTGGAATAGAACTCAAGTCTCACCATTTCTCTGCTGTCAGCAAATATCTGTGAAACCCACTGGGAAAGTGCATGTCTCCTCCCCCTCTAGTGCTGGTCTACATAGACGACAACAAGCTAGTATGGTGTCAGTCACTCCATTAGCTGAAGTGACACAGGTCTGAGCTGTGGACCTTAAAGGTGCCAGTTCTGTTGATGAACTACGTGGGTGTCAATATGATGGAACTTCTTGAGGTTTGATTTTTTAAAAACCTGGGCTATTAAACACAAACACTACGTTAAAAGACCGTTACTGAGACTGCAAAAACAAACACTCAAAAGTTAGGAAATTCTAGAACTAAGGTTGTCTGTGCCACCTTAATTCAGCCCCTTGTGCACATGCAGTATGATACAATCCTTAATTGCATGATCACGTACTCCCCCCTCCCCCAGGACTCCAGCTCACTCAGTGTACAAGATGGACCTGCTCTAGGTTGAATCAGGGCTGTGTAGCTCCAGAGGCTGTTGTTTATAGGACCTGTCTCGTTTGTTGTAGAAGTTGGAAGGTGACTGGGATGGACAGGCCTAGGCCTGCCCAAAACTAAAGGCCACTCCCTTAAAGTGGAGGAGCCACTGAGCCCAGTAGGCAAATGATTATGAGGGGCAACAAATGAAAAATTAGGCATAGGACTTAGGCTGAACGAGGCAGGGGACTGCAGGAACAGAAATGACAGTCTCATGGTTCAAGCAGTTGAATACTACTCTGGACAACTGGAGTCTATCTCTGCCACAAAATTCTCATGTGATATCACTTAAACCTAACTTTTCACAGGGATCACTCATTGTGCATTCCCCATTTTCTGGGTGCCTGACTTGAGACCCTGGGGTCTGATTTACAGAGATGCTGAACACTCACAGCTGCAACTGAAGTGAATGGGAGTTATACTTTGAACAAATGAACTGCTGTTACGTAATCTGAAAAAACAGATCCGAGGTATCTCAAATTGAACACCTAAAATTAATGGATGCTTTGACCTTAACTTCTCTGTGTCTCAGCTCTCCATCTATAAAATACCACCTCATTTTGCTGGGGAGTTGTGAAAATAACTTCATTAACGTTTGTGAAGTACTCAGATACTGTACTGACGAGTACCATAGAAAAGCCCAGGAGGAAATTAATAAGACTGACTTCCAAGCAGGGTTTGAATCGTGTGCAGTAAATAAGGCCTGGGACCACACACTGAACAACGAGGGGAAAAAAATATATTCAATACCCCCTTACTAAGTGTGGTCCATTCATTCTGTGCAATGAATAAGGCAGGGGTCCTGTGGAAAAAATAGTACGGGATTAAAGGCAGTGTCAGAACACATATGCAAAAGGGAGCTGATTTTAGGTTCCATAAGCAAATTTAATTCTGGCATTTTCTAATTTTCAAGTGCTTTTCGTTGCAACCTTAATAATATTCTTTTCACATAGTTTTTTGTGCGTGATGTGTGTGCATAGGAAGTAAAACTCAACTAATTAGCCCATAATCTTCTTTATAAAGCCCAGAGTTTGGAGACATATGGACCACAAGAAAGGGACATTCCACTGAATATGTAGACTAAACACTTCAACACTACGGAATGTTTATTTGAGTACAAGACAGTTGTGCTACTGCTAATAAACATTTTATCCTTATAAAAAGACCATTGAAGAGCTAACATTGCATTGAGCAACCACAGTAATCTGGATACAAGATGCTTGACAAGCTAGTGGGGCTGGACAGTCTTATCACTATGGTCTTCATCTACCATCTTAAATTTGGACCCACTTTTGACAATTATTCTTCTAATACGATTTAGCTTCCTGGGTTTTAGATACAACATGATGTGTACCTTTGTATTGCCATGATCAAAAAGCATTTAACTCTCCTGCAAATGCTGTTTATTCCTCATTCTGGTGCATATGTATTTAATTCTCCTTCCACTTTGTGTAAATATGAGGTATTAGTTTTGAGTTTCTTTTTTAATGTTAAGAAAAAAATCAGTAAGGGAAAAATGTAAATACATATGTGTATACACACACACACACCACACACACTTTAGAAAAAGGACAATTTAGCAAACTGAATTTATTTAAATGATGGAAATGGATATAAACAAAATTAGCATCCTGATTGTCTAGATATGTTCTAGTTCTAAAATAAATAAGTGATTTTTTCCCATAACTGGTCATCATTAACAGTACATTTTTAGCCTCATATTTTAAAGGGTTCTAGAGCATTTAAACAAAGCAGGTCTGAAGACACACTGAAGATCAAATCTTACCATATTTAATGGTGTAAACAGAAAATGAACCAATTCGGGTGCACTCGGGTTCTGGATGTGAGACTTTAATTTAGCCTGAAGGGGGGGAAAAAAGAGACAAAACAAATTGGTAACTTCTATGATGATTGAATAGTATGCAGTAGAATCATCCTTTAAAAGAAAGAACCTTAGTTATGGAATTAAAGTGCAGGTCATATTTATTTCTGCATTTATATATAGAATGTCAAAGGTTGAACAAAAATATAGGTCACTTATCCTTTGGGAAGAAGCATCCCATAAACTATAGAGCTGATTGGCACAGTACATCTTACAGTTGACCAAAGATGCTGGTGCAGAGGACTTTATGGTGTCCTTGGGGAAGAGCTGCTGAACGTGGGGGGCAGGAGAAGAAAAGGTTACAACGGCTTCAACCAAGGCCTCGTTACTGTGTTCAGCCTGGTGTCCTCAGACCCAGGGGCATGGAGATGGGGGTGACATCAAAGTGTCAGTGGTTCATAGATTTTGAGGCCAGAAGGGACCCCTGCGATCATCTAGTCTGACCTCCTGCATAACACAAGCCATAGAACTTCCCTGAATTAATTCCTGCTTCAAGTTCAACAACTGTGGTTGCAGAGCATGTAACGTAGGGGTAGTTTCTCTGTAGCCTTCTCAACCCTTACAAATGCCTCCTGGAGCACATCCCCCCCTTCAGTGGGATTTCATTTCCCCAAGGAGAAATAGAAGAAAGCTGATTAGGCTCAGTTATTGGAGGAGGAGGAGGACAAGTTCTCTCAGTGGCACTGCTGTCACAACCACTGAAGCAAAAAGCCAATAGCTGAAGGGAGGCACAGAGGAAATTAAGTTTTCCCAGTGATGCTCTGGGGCATATTGAGGAGAAGATGCCAAAAGTGGGTACCTGAGTTGGCAGCACTGGATGCCAATGGCTGGTGATGTTTAGGGCAAGAGATGACCACGGGATGGAGCACTCTGTGGCTAGTGAGGTTTATAAGAGAGGTCTCTCTTTAATGGCCTATTTGACCCATGTTTTTTAGTATATTTAACAGTAGTAATGAGCATAGAGAATCTGACAAGCGTAACTGAAAAGCTAAATAAAGAGCACAGCTGTGGAGGCTGGCGAGCATACAAGAGTGAGCTGTACATTTTCCTAACAAACCTCTCTAGAAACCAGTTAATATTTTCAATGTAAAAGGGTGAAACTTTATTATTATTATAGTTACCACTTCACCATTCATATGGCACCGCTGTAAAGTCTCTGCTGCTCTGGGTGGGGGTTGGAGATTGGGACTGCAGCCCTGAGCAGAAATGAAACCAGCCAAAAAGCCACTGCTTTTAGCCCTGGCCTGAATAGGGATTTTGAAGACAAAAATCAATCAAGCACCATCTCTCAGGTCTACAGTAAGGCAGCTTGGCTGTTACTGGATGATGGGCTGAAGCAATGTGGGATTACACTAGAAGGACTAATAACTCTGCTGAAGGTGCAATCTGAGGCTTGCTGCCTCTAGGGGCGCTGCAACAGCTAGAGTGACATGTAGGACTAGTCTCACTCAAAATGAGGCATTCCCAATAGTGACAAGAACATCCGTGTGCAATCACTAGCAACCACGTGCGTGGATGTGTGCTTGGTTGCAGATGTGCTAGGGAGTTGGTAGGCCAAAATTGTCTACTGCGGAGAAGGCCTTGTAGAGAGCCCAGGGGAAAGCATGACAGCGTGGTCACCATTCCAGGGGAAGGAGAGAGCTGTCTGGGGTCTATTCCCAAGAGATGCCTCTGGGGAAGCAGAGGTGCAATAAACACAACAACTTGTTAGTAACTGGAGCAACCAGAGAAACCGGATTTGAAAATAAAAAGGCAAATCTACCTCTCTCTCACACTTCCACCTGCACAATCATAAACTTCAAAAACATTTCTAGCACAGGAGGTGGTTGGCAATATCTGAAAACGCGTGGGTGAAAGTGACACATCAAGGTGCACTCAGAGCCAATTTGTAGCAGCAGGGAAAGAGTATGCTATATCTGACTTCAAACAAGCTAGGAAAAGTCGCCCCTGCCTGCCCCGTGGAGCCTCAGCTGCTGGCAACTACTTACCAGAAGGTTAAAGCCATGCTTGAATTTTTGAAAACAGTCAACAAATTCATCTGGAGGTGGTGGCTTTGCACGAAGAGTGAGAACTCCCTCTAGAGAACAAAATGAAAAAAATATATAGAGATGTTATGGAATTCAGGACATGTATATTTACTAACATAGGCTCAGCTCTGCTGCCTTTTCTCCCATCGACTTCCAGAGAAGGATGGCAACAGGACTTGCTCGCACCGACTAGAACCCAATTTTTTTAGATCTCAGTGTATGTCCAGACCTATTCCAAAGAAAACAAAGTGACTTGTCCAATTAAAGTGAATGAACAACAACAAAAACACAAAGCAATGCAATAAGAAAAACAAAACCACATTCACTAGCTACATGAATGACTTTTAAAGAACAAGGCAATAAAAAGACCTGGGGGCTGGGAGGGAAAACAACTCTTACCCCCAGGTCCTTTCTTTTTATTCTTCTTGGTTTTCTTTCTCTTTGAAAGTTCAGCAAATGCTTCAGCGGCTTTTTGAAGTTTGGTAACAAAATATTCAATGTCATCCAAAATATGGTTCAGAATTTGCTGCAGAAGAGATGAACAACATTAATGTCTCTGGCTAATCTGTGGCACAGCTAGTCATTTAATCACTTTGTTGTAATTTACAGCATCCTAGCAGCAGTCTCCTATGTTCATCATTAATTCCAGGAAGCACTGCCTATGCAGATTCATCATATGTCTGACATTTACAAATTTCTCAAGCTCACATTTTGCTCTATTTTCAATAGTTGTGATCATTAAAAGCTTTCAAAAGTAAGTATTGAGACTATTAAATTTTAAATTTAATTAGCTTTGAGTCGCACACTATATTTCTCCCACGCAGCAAATGCAGAAATTTTGTTAAAACATAATTTTCCCTGTGATGCCATTTTCTAACAGCTGTAATTTCATATGCTCTGGTAAAACAAAGTATTAAAACGATTACTTGCTGAAATGCAGGGTTGCACTTTCCAGTAGATGTGACATTCTTCCATGAATGCAAAAAATTCTTTTCAATGCATAAAGAGTATCACAGGAGGAGAAGGGACCAAGTTGGGGAAAGTATGTGCCCCAGTTCAGGAAAGCTCAAGCACTTGCTTAGGTCCATCCTTATTCAGGGAATAACACGTCAGTATACTTAACTTTAAGCATGTGTTTACGGTACATTGATTTAAAAGGGATTTAAGCACATGCCGAAGTGCTATCCTGAATCAAGGTCTTAGTGCACTCACATCTCAGACCTATAGCTCAAGTTCTCCACAGGACAGAATTGAATCTGATCTTGATGGTCTTATTTCCATCTTTTTTTGAGCCCTTTATAAGTCTATCACACAGTTTCGCACGACTGGCAAACTCTCACCTGGAACTGTGTTTTGCCTGTGAAAAAGACTCTTCCTGTTCTTGAAGCAACCTTCCAACATTTCAAGAATACTGAACACCACACTGCACACACACGTATATCTTAACTTACAACATCTCTGTCAATCCTGGCTGCCATCATCTCAGCTGTTTCTTCGTGCTCATGGAACTGTCTGGGTTTTTCAACTACAGGGGGCGGGGAGGAGAGACGAGACGTACACAGTAAAGGATATCAGAATCTAAGAGCCAAAACTCCACATATACACTAATCTTACATATGGAATCATTGAGCCAGGAGTGCAAGGAAGACTACAATGTTTATACCTCTCAACCTGCTGGCGCCCAAATGTAGAACACACCATGTGCAATAAAAACCCCACAACAAAGGGGGGAAGGGGGAAATTATGCAAGCAACTTAAAATGCTGTGAGATTCCTTCCTTTGGTGTAAAATAACTCTTTCTACAACTTGATTTCATGAATCCTTCTTTTTATGTAAATCATCTGCAACGCTAAAAAGGGAGGGGACATCAAATTTGCATGGAGCATAGTTAACTTTGCAATTAAGACAAGTGATATTCATAAAAATGAGGGACAAATGAGAAGTATGCTAATGTTTCCCTTGAAGAAGCATTTTAATACCTGATTTAAAACATGATCTACCTGAAACCACTGTACTGCACTCGAACTTATGTCTTAAAAAAAACAAAAAAACTTTACAATTCAAAAATGGCACGGAGAGATGAAGAATCTCTGTGGGCAGATTTATCTTGTATTTGTAGAAAATGCAAAAAAAACCGTGACCTGTTTAAGGTGTTTGTTTGTTTCTTTGGGCTTTATTTTTTTATTTTTTAAATCCAGTGTCAATATTTTGTTCCCATTTCTTAAGTGTCCACCACTGTAATAGCTGGGGCTTTAATTTTGTTTTTACTGAACACAGGGGGAAACGCCTCAAAATATTGCTTTTAAACAGAATAAAACAGGCTCAAGTTGCAATTGAGTGAGAGATAATCAGCTCAAAGGCTCATAATTATTATTAATTTATATTGCATTAGCATCTCAAGGGGCCAGTTCAGAACAAAGCCCCATTGTAGTAGGCATTGTACAAACACATAACGTATCCAACTCAGCCTCTGCCCTGAGGAATTTACCATCTCAAGGCCTGATCCCGCAAACAGTTAAACACGTGCTTAGCTTTACGCATCTGAGTAGGACCACTGAAGTCAACTGAATACCTTCACAAATTAGGTTACTCATGTGTGTAGAATTGGGACCTAAGTCAAATGACAAAGTGGAGGATTGCAGACAAGATATACAACTGACTAATTATAAGTGGATAAAGTGTTGATTATCCTCATTTAGTCACCCTTAATTCACTGTTTTTGGATAACAATCGCAGCAGAAGTAGGTCTTGAGGAGGAGGAGGATGGGGATAAGGGATGTGATCTCAAGCATCAATTCAAGGAGGGCATTCCATATGAAAAGGGCAAAATGGAAAAAGGCATGGGGACAGTTGTGTGAAACCGACAAATCAGGCAAAAGAGGCTGGCTGAGAGGAGGGAAATGAAGTGATAAGATAGTAGTGCACAAGTATGGAAGGGCAGACTCAATTAGTGATTCTTCTTTGAAAACAGCAAATCTTAATGTTACAGGGAACCATTCTAAGTTTGCATTTTTAAAAATAAGTTTTATTAAAGGCTACGGCACTTGAATCTACTTAACTGTGGGAGGTTTCAGTTACGACAATTTAGAAAATATCCGCACAAATAGAAAAAAATTATATAATTATCAGGAACACAATTCAGTAAGAGTCCACTTTACAAAAAACACCACCACAAACACTTTTAAACGAAGAGAAATTCAAACAAAAGAACAAATTAGCCTTTGCTTGATGTAGCACATAATGCTGTGTGGTGGTATGTAAAAATGTTCTGACCATTATTGCCTTCTGTGGACATTTTAAAGTGCTTTGTTTGTGCTGCACAGTTGTACACTCTGTTAACGAATACTTTCATTCAACAAACAGAAAATGGGATAAAAACCTTCATGAATAATGGATTCTTTTGCTTTTTTTATTTTAATAAGAAACCATTAAAAGTAAAAACGCCAAAAACTCAATGTACCCAAAATTATTCTTTAAACATATTCTATTCTACTGAAAGTAGTTGCATTATTTCCAAATTAGCAATAGTTTCAATTTTTTTCTGAGAGAAAGCAGGTTTTTCCATTACAGTCAAAAATCTGAAGCCCTGCACAGAAGATATGAATCATTCATATTTTTCATTTTTCTACAGTCCTGTTACACACTTTTGTTTAGACTTGTAAAGATGACCAGCCAATTTAGCCACACCATTTGCTTAAAAATGAAGAGAAGTGGAGTCCAACACCTTAGTCAGCTTTCTATGATAGTGATTAGCTGAGAAATAAAAAAAAACAAGCCAGGTTGCTGCCCTGAGAAATTTACCACGCAAGGGTTTGATCTTGCAAATTCCCTATTACTGAGCACAACATCACTGAAGTTACTGGAGCTATGCTGTGTAGTAAGTATTATGCACATCAGCAGGGCCATGCAGCAGCCTGACTTCAGTTAACTTTCACGGACAGAGCGTAGAATATCATGCTCAATTCTGGGTATTTCAATATCACAGAAATGGAGTAAACAAACAAATTAAAAAAAAAAACGAGGAGTCCAGTGGCACCTTAAAGACTAAAGACTGTTAGAGCTTATCTACACTACCCACCGGATCGGTGGGCAGGGATTGATCCGGGGTGGGTGTCGTTTACCGCGTCTAGTATAGACTGCGATAAACCGACCGCTGAGCACTCTCCTGTTGACTCAGGTACTCCACCAGAATGAGGAGCGCAAGCGGAGTCGACAGGAGAATGTCAGCTGTCGACTTACCGCAGTGAAGACACCGCAGTGAGTAGATCTAAGTACGTCGACTTCAGCTATGCTATTCATGTAGCTGAAGTTACATATCTTAGATCGACCCCGTGCAGTAGCGTAGACAAGCCCTTAGTCCTTAAGGTGCCATCGGACGCCTCGTTGTTTTCGTGGATACAGACTAATAAGGCTACCCCTCTGATACTTGACACAAATTCAGAAAAGGAAAAATTGGGATGAATGAGACAGCTCGGACTCCAACAGCCATCAAATTGTCTAGACCATCAAATTGTCTCTCTAGGGAAGTGGCAGCTTGGGGCATTTAAAACTAGAGTGAACAAAACAGTAGAAGGTATACAATAGAGAATAGCCCTGATCTGCCCCATTGGGAATGGAGCAGATGATTCAATTGGTCTTTTCTATTTTTAGCCCCAGTTACCATAATCTTCATGGAGCTTCTGTTTGTAATTATTCTTTTTATTTGTTGGCAACATGCAAACATACTGCCCAAAACATTGCCAGTCAGTCAATTATCAACTCCGTCAATTCCCAGCAATACTCACAGTCTCCTTGTTCAGCTGCCCAAGCAGACCAGGCTGCCACTCGGCTTCTGACATCCACCTGTGTGACAGTACCTGGGGGAACAGGAGCGGGCGCTTTCGGAGGTGGAGGAATAGAGCTGTCAGCTTTGGAAATCATCCTAAAGAAATATAACAAACCAGAGATGAAGCTTGGGGAAAAAATTCTCTCCCTTCTAATGTGCCATTGGAAAAGGCAAGTGGGCGTACAGGGAAATCTCAGATACGTGACATGTCACTCTTTGTCAGACTTAAAAAGTTAGCAGTACTCAGGTCTGTCATTTGTAAGTAAATTGAGCATACCTGAAAGACTGCTCTGTGATAAACTCTTTCTATGAATATTAAGCATTGCTAACTCAGTACATATGAGAAACATGCACAAGGATACCAAGAAAACTATGCTTTGGTCATATGAAAAAGCCTGACAGAGTATAATTATCCATTAAATCCTTTCTACAAAAGAATGTTCAACCAGGCTATATAATTAGATAGCAGAGATGAATTTAGTGACTGGGACATATTAGGAGTCAGGCCACCACATGTAGAGTGGGGTAGCCTGGAGTCTTCATTAGAAGAAAGCTGACAAGAGGGAGCACCACAAATTCATTATCAAGCCGTTGATTTCCTAAAAGGGGCTGTCAACCACCTATTTCTTAAAGCTGAACTAATTAAACTTAATGACTGAATTTGGAAGGGGGGGGGAGGGAACCCCATCAACATTTAGTCTGACTCTGCTCACTACAAATGCAGGATTGTCCCCTACAGTACGTTTTCTAGCATTTTATCCCGTACAGTTTTAAATACCACAAGCAATAGGGCTTTCCGTCATTTTCCTTGGCACGCTATTCAGCAGCCTGAGAGAGCTTATTGTCAAACAGGTTTCTCCTCTGCCCCCACCATATTAACCCTATTTCTCCCCCCCCTCTGAATTCTATATCATTCCTCCTATTCGCACCCTTCAAATATTGGTAAATGTGTCCCATTTTATTCGTCTCTAGATTAATAATTACACATTAAATCTTCCCTCCAAAGTTAGTACCTCCAGTCATTCTTTTTGTTGTTCTCCATACTTCCTCCAATTTCTCAATATCTTTGGGATAATTTGGCATCCAGACTGAAGCTATGTCTACACTGCTCTGGCATGGCTACACTGGGATAGCCCCCTAGTGCGGCTGCTGCAGCGTAGGCCAACAGAAGGAGGTTTTCTGCCTGCATATCACCACCGCTTCCCCAAACAACATCAGCTACACTGACAGAAGCACTCTTCTACCTTATAGTGATGCCTACACTGGGGGCTCTGCCAGCACAAGTATGTTGGCTAAGGGGTGTGATTTTTTTCTAGCCAACATAGTTGTGGTGGCATATGTTTTAAATATAGACCAGGCCTGAATGCAGTATTTCCGGAGTAGTCATGATTGTGGCATATACAGAGGGACTATTATCTTCTTTCTCTGTGACTTCATGCCTGCACATGACGCCATTATGCATGGCGAACTCTAATCTGCCATACACTGTCGGCCTTTGCAGCCTTTATAGCACTACCGCTTCCTGGGTTCTACACAACATTGCATTTCAGATAATTTTTCCGAGATGCATTGACTTGCACTTTCCCAAAGTGAATCTCGCTATTTTAATTTTCTGCATTGTTTCTAATGCTTCCAGGTCCTTTTGGTATTACTACCTTGTCCTCATGCCTGTTGGAAACTGCTCCTAATTTAAGCCATGGTCTTCCACACACAAATGCAGCCATTTAACTTTAAGCCCATGAGTAAAATTAAGCATGTGCGTGAGTGTTTGAAAGATCGAAGCCTGTGTTACTATATGTGAACTCCATGAACACATGCTGCTTACTCCCTTTACCAGATCATTAACTTGTCTCCATTTTCCCCATCTGTACAATGTGAAATTAATACATAATTATCTTTGTATGGTGTTTTGAGAGCTACAGATGAAAAATTTTATATAAGCTAAGCATTACTGGGAAAGATTTTCAAAGGCACAAAGGGCAAGTAGGTGCCAAACTCCCATTAACTCTCATACATGCCTTTGAAAATCTCCTCCATTATTTCTGAATCCCCACAATACCTCACTTCTGTATTAATCAGAGAGTTTAAGGCCAGCAAAGCATGTAGTCTGACCTCCTGTATATCACAGGCCACCACCAGCACATAGCACCTGCGCACTAAAATTAACCCCCAGAATTAGACCAAAGTATTACAGCTCAGCAGAGACTAGACTATTATGTGCCACAGGGAGAGAATGGGAGGGACAGAAGTGCACCAGTGCCTGAGGCCCCCACAATGCCAGGAAACAGATTAAGTGAGATTCACCCACATGATCCTGGCAAGCAACTTGCATACCATCCTGCAGAAGAAGGTGTACCTCACCCTCCATCACGCCCTCAAGGCCACTGCCAATCTGACCTGGGGGGAAAACTCCCTCCTGGCCCCATATATGGCAATTAGTTCGACCCTTGAGTGTGTGAGCAAGAATCAGCCAGGAAAGCACCTGAAAGAGACTATGCTTGGTACCTCCTCACAGCACCAACCCACCCCATCCAGGGTGCCATCTCCAGCTGTGGCCATCTCTGAGGATTCAGAGAAAAGAAACAACCAACCAAAGAACCAAAGAAAACCCAGAATACATTTGGAGGTGGGGGAAAAAACCTGTCCTGACCCCTGAAGGTGACCACTTGAAGCATGAGGTTTTAGGAACATCAGACATTAATTGTCTCTGAATTCAATGCACTCCACTCCCCCATCCTTAACACATAAAAGCTGTTCTCACCCGCTAGAGGAAGTGGCCGCATTCTCCCAACTGAACACAGTTATGTATACCATTGGAGTAGGAGAGAGTTAAGAACAGAAGCTGTAAATTTAGACAGTGAGAGAGAGAAATAAATCAAGCTGTTGTCCCTGATTGTGGGTGTATACTATCCAGAAGATTACCACAAAATAGTAAAGAATAGTAGAATTGGAAAGAGGAGAATGGGGGAGAAAAAGAAAGGGTGATTTTAAATTACTTTCTACTAGACTGTTCCTGATACTACCTGGAAGTTTTTTACCTGAGCGTGTCAAGCCTCTTCTTTTGTTTCCCCGCTTTGCTGTCGCTGATTGCACTTTCAATATCTTCATGAATAAAGCTAGCCTGCAGGGACAGAAACAGATGTTACCTGGCTGTCAAACACTTGAGTTGTTAATAGGCTAAATAGATAGGATTAAAAATATCCACTTGTTTGTTTTTAGGTCCAGGAACATACGTATCTAAAGAATTTTCTTTCAACTCTATTTTCAATACAGTTAGAAAGACACACACACACACTATTGTCTGGATGCGGATACAGATATCAGTGTTCGGATACCAAACTGTGCTCTAGTGCGTATGTTTGCAGTGTTGTTGTAGCCATGTTGGTCCTAGGATATTAGGGAGACATGGTGGGTGAGGTAATATCTTCTATTGCAGCAACTTCTGCTGGTGAAAGGATAGAGCTGAAGGACTCTGCAGTTCAGAAGCTTGTTCTCTTTCACCAACAGAAGTGGGTCTAATAAAAGATATTACCTCACCCAACTTGGCTTTCTGATGTATGTCTCATTTAAGCTGAAATGCATCTGAACAGTTGTAATTATTTCAAGTCAACAATTATTGCCAGAGCAAATGAATTCTTCTTTCCTAGATGACTATAGTATTATGCAAAAAGAAAAGGAGGACTTGTGGTACCTTAGAGACTAACCAATTTATTTGAGCATAAGCTTTCGTGAGCTACAGCTCACTTCATCGGATGCAAGCTGTAGCTCATGAAAGCTTATGCTCAAATAAATTGGTTAGTCTCTAAGGTGCCACAAGTCCTCCTTTTCTTTTTGCGGATACAGACTAACACGGCTGCTACTCTGATAGTATTATGTTAAGTTTTCTCAAGCATGTTAGTGAAAGGCATTGCACATCAATCAACAAATAGCAACAGCACTAAAGAGAAGAAAAGGAATGGTTGAACCCGGGGTCCCAACCTGGGGAAGCTCCAGCATCTACACTGACTTCTGTGGGCCTGAGTCCAACCACCCATATCCCAGAATTCCTAGTACCCATCCAAAATGTGGCCACTCTAGCCCCTTGTCCGTAGTGTAGCATGTGAAAACTTGACTGTCCACTGAACTTGGTTGTCCAAAGGACAAAGAAAGTTGGCCCACAGGATTGTCAAATACTTTTTGCAAACTCCCCAAGTATAAGTCCAGTGGGGGACCCACCACCCTAACAGGATCCTGGGACCCTGGATACGAGCCCTGGGTTATCGTGCTGTGTGTAGGTGAAAGGGGAGTTAGGCTTGACCCTGAGTTTGAACCCTGGGCTTACACTGCAGTGTAGACACACCCATAGGCATTGCAATAAAAAGGTTAGGGAAAAAAATGAGATGGGCACAGAACTTTCTTCAGTATGAACTTTGCCACTAACTGAAAACCAAATGTATATAATCTCAGTTTGTCTGCACTACAGAGCCTTTGCCTAGCTATGCTGGCAGAGTCCCCCTAGTGGAGATGCAGTAAAAACCAACAGAAGTAGATCTGTCAGCATGCCACCAGCCACACAATTAACCCAGTCATCTTCACAAATGTTTATTTGAAGAAACCCTACCATGTGATTACTGTTATTAAAAAAATAAGGATACAATAGGGTGACTATAACTACTATGAAAGAAAATTTAGAAGTTCCATGAAATTACCTATTAGAATTTGAAGAAGCAGTACAAATTATATTACCGCACATGCCAAAATTGAGATGTACAATCCCAGAAATAAAGTCAAGTACTTTTAACAATTTTATTTACTCTAAAATATTGCTGGCTTATCTTAACTGGAAGCTGCAAACAAGATCTCTCTTTCTCTTGGTTTTGAGGATTTTACCTAGTAATATTCCCCCCTCTCCTGCTCTAGTTTTCTAATAGAGCACAAACCAATATTAGTCTGTATTAGTCTATTAGTCAGATTTAACTGCTCAACAAGAAAGGAATAGATGGAAAGGAAAAAAGCAGTAAGAACAGATATTTCTCATCAGCTTCTACGAATTTGTAATTATCTCTCTTGAGCTATTTTACACCATCTTCTTAAGAGACAGTATCAGTGAATATTACTAACATATACACACAAACCTCAGTGATCTACGAGCCTAATTTAATAGCTAAGCCTTGAACCTTACCCTCCCAAAATACTCTCTCTAGGAAAGATTTATATGGGTGTGCATTCTACTAAGGTTTCAAATATCTGAGATATCATTACCCTTAATGAATATACTATAGTATTTTTATTATCATACTAAGAAAACTTAGTATCATCAGAAAACTTAGTATCATCAATATATTAATGTTGAAGTACAAATGACAGAAGAAATGAACAAAGTACATTTTGTGAGGTGATATCATTGATTTTCCCCCTTACTGTCAATTCACAAAATTACAAAATTCAAGCGATCTGCAATGGGTCCCTATTATTGCCTTACCTTAACCTCATCACATTGGAAAAGATGAAGATCTGGCTTGTTTTGGGCTGGTTCTTTGCAAACTAGTGCAAGAATAGAATCATAATTGCACGTGTTCATCACAGCTTGGCAATGTTGAACTGTGCTCAAAGGAAAATTCTCCAGTTCATTCTGCAGGGGAAAAAAAAACATCTTACATGTCTGGTTACCAAAAATTCAGTCTTGATCTCTGAAATGCTGCTGCAGTTTCATCCAAACAATGAAAATAATAAAGCCATAATTAAAATAATATAAAAAACCTTCAGACACTCTTTTTTGCTGCTGATTCCCTTCTTCCTTCCTGAAAATGAGAATGCCATTTACAGAGACCTACCTTTGATTCTAAGTCCACCAGACTGACAGCTTTGTCATCCACTTGAAGAATCATATCTTGAGTCCACACTTTGCCCTTGGCATCCAGCAACTTCAGCTTTCTTATTCCATCATCTACTGTTATCATAGCCTCTTTCCGGTCCAAAACAAAAGTGGTCAAGTGCTGATGATCGATACATGCGTAAAAAGATGCACACACATTAAAAGTCATTTTCCAAAATCAAATATCGGCACTAGTTACACTATAGTGAAACAGGATGACAAGCCATGCATTTAAAAAAAGAGTGCCTTTATTCATGACACATTCCATTGATAAGCTAGGATTTTTTATTCCATACTGTCACTTAAATAAAATCAACTGACAACTATAACCTACAATTTATCATCCTCTATCATTGTGTGAGTAGTTAAGCTACCTTGGATATTTTGACATTTATCAGGCATCACAATCAGGATTTAAAAAAAAAAAAAAACACTCGAAACATGAATTTACCATGCATGACAAGTAGCAGCCTGGCACCTCTGGAAAGCGAAACACAGGCTACAGAAAGCTGACCTAGACTCTGTTAATTTGCCTCAACCCTGACCTGGGAGGTCCTCATATTTCTGTTAAAGCTGACAGCTAGCATACTAGTGGCAATGATGTGGTGTTCATTTGTTTCTCAGAGATACACCTTCTAGATAGACTGGCCACTCATTTCATATAGACTACAAAATAAATATTATATGGTAGTACTTTTGTTCACTACCAGCCTGGCATGTATTTTATTTTTAACCAGTGGCCTGCAGATGAAATACGATCTTGCTGCCATTGCTCCGGATCCATCCAATTTCCTTGCTGTTATGATTTTGCTACATTTATTTTCTAACGTGTCAACTATGCAAGGCTGCCCATAAACCACAACAGATCCAGTTTTACATTTTTATCCAAGAGCTCAAACTTTAACTCAGTCTCAATTATTTATTAATATGAATAAGACTTCATATCTTTTACATCATTTTAATTTTTAAAAAATTATTCAGTGTGTTTGCATCAAATACACAAAATGGTATACCTACTAACTGTGTAACCAAGACAGTGGATGTGGCTGCTGCATAGGACCAAATAATATTAACACAGAAATGAAAGGGAATTGAAACAACTCAAAAGGTAAAATAAAATTTAGTAATGAGATTATACTCATTGTTCACATGGCAACGCTTGCATTCCAAATACATGCAGAAATCTTTTATGCCAATACAGTACCAACACCTAACTTTAATATCTAAAGTAGCCAAAACCATACGGAGTCAAAAGCAACATAACTATTTCCTTGCAAGCAGACTGTGAAGGGGATCTGAGCAATAGAATGCAAGATGCTGCTGAGAACCATCGAACATGTAACAACAACTTACACAGGTACTGAATTTAAAGCTGAACAATGAGGAACTGTGAATTTATGGCACTGGCAGGACCTAATTTAGTCCCATAACAGTGCTGCTTGGTTACACAACAGAATGTCTACTGTCATATCAGAATAAGGCTGTAATATGTCATCTTATATTTTAAATGGTCTTATATGACAAAGGATCACAAAGTGCTTTACTAACAATATATGAGCATCCAGGACTTGCTTCCCTGAAAAATGTAAATGGATTTACTCCTGGGGTAGATCATGACATCAATATAAGGTAATTCTGCTCAGCAGTTTAGGGCAGGAAGCGAGAGATAAACTCTGCATTGCAAAGTAAGGGGAATTTGGTAGGCAGAACGTAATTAACCATAACAGACTGTAGCCAGCCCTGAAGTTAAGACCCCTGCTGTTGTGAAGAGAGTCTGAGCTCTCTGATGATGATGATATTTTATCAAAGCCTCCATTTTCCATATCATCCAACATGGAGCTTCAGTAACACAGAGCATCTCAACACCGTGCCTGAAGACTAGAAGGCAACAAGCTCAAGGAGAAAAGCGCATCACCTATTGAATTATCAGCATCACTTCCTGAGGCACCTAGATTTTGCATAGATACATCCCTTCCCCCTGCCAAATAGTAACTGCAGGCAATCCTGCTTTTCTCATAAAATCTGACACAATTGTAGCCCATTTTGGTCTAGCTGCAGGATCCAAGACATAATCAAATGTATATTATACTAAAAGTGACATTTGCCTGGCAAAACATTTTAGATGATGTATATGTACACTGCTTGGGGGGGGGGGGGGGAAAACAAACCATTACATATTATGCAGAAATGTACTAGAAAGAGTAAAACAGACCTTGCATTTTATCCTAAAAAAACATGTCAGGGCATTTGTTATTTTTCCAATTGGAAATCTCTGTCTTACCTCCACATGATACTGTGAAGTTTCGGATATGCTGCTGGCACTGTCCCGTGCATAATTCTTTCTTTGCTCTAAAAAATAATAATTAAGAGACTAATTCTTCACCTGCTTCCATGTTATGCTGAAGCTTATATCTTTTAAAACTGTCTCATAGATACCCACAATATTTTTATACAAACACAGAAAAAGAAAAGCTGTTACTTATCGTACTCAAAAGGAAAAGCCTTCACCTCATTGTAGCCTTGAGCACAATATATATCCACATGAACAATACCAGGAAAAAAGCCAGTAGGAGGCAAACAAAATGCTAGATGCAACAACTCAGAATACAGCGGGTTATTGGCATTTTAAGTATTGTTTGAAAATAATGTACTGTGAACTTTGAATATTAAATCATTGACTTCCCATTTATGTAGCTAGCAAAACTGATGTGGGGCTTTTCGTATATGCATTAACGTACTCTGAAACCAAGTTATATATTACTACTCTATAGCTAAAAAGCCCCAGGAATTAGCAGAAAAAAAATCCAAATCAATATTTTAAATACTGGGGTTTGAAACTGAATATTTTAGAAATTATTTTAAAAACACAAAAATCTGTTTTGCCTTTCTTTCTTTCTCTTTCTTTCTTTCCGACTTCTTAAATATTAAAAATAAATGAATTAAATAGGCTGAGAAAGGACAAATGCAGAAGATGCAGTACAGAACTACCACACTGAATTACTCTAACAGAAATCTCTTATATTCTTCTGTTATATAACGCTGCAAAATCAGAAATATCATCTTGGGTCTATTTTATGCCAGTGGGGAAAATAGAATACATATTACAATGTCATAATCAGGGAAGAAAACATCTCATCTTAATTTAATACAAAAATATTCTCAATGTAATATTTGGAACCTTTACTCAGAAATCACCGAAGGGACTAATCTTGCTTTCTTTTCTCAGGCAAATTTCCAAGTGAAGTTAATCGGAGACCTGACAGGATAAAGGGTTGCAGGATTTAGCTTTCAGTATTTTTGTTTTTTGAAATAACCAATTTTTCTGCCTTAAGATGAGATAAATGAGCATTTTGATTAACTGGGTTTCAAGCTGAGAAAAACTGATATGTACAGCATGTGTCAATTTCACCATAGAGGCAACTGGTGCATGAGAGAAAAATTAAGTGTGCTACTGTAGTCTCCAAGAGCTAACTATATCAAAGCACTACTTCAACTACTAAAAATGAAGGCAGGTTTGGGTTGAATAGGTATTTAAGGCCTTAGGGTCTATAAACTATGTAGATCTTTTGGGAGGGCCGTATACAGCAGAAGAGAATGATACCCATTGAGGTCTTAGACCAATGTTAAACCAAGGGCCTTGCCAAACTGTGTTTCTTTACATGGGTATTCCAAGTCAGGTAGAACGTGGGTTTAATAACAGAGGACCCCTATGCTGCAAGAAGCGAAGTAGCCTCAACTCCCATGGTTTCAGTGGGAAATTACTTAGCAGGTGATAGTTAGCAGGAGGTACAGGCCCACAGTTTCATCGTGTCTGTGCATCTCATAGAAGGCAGTCAGTTACAGAGCCGTCATTTTTCCCAGAAGGCCAGTGTTGCTTACTGAAATAGGCAATTAACTCACAACAGTTATTCAGTTTGCTTTAGTGAGATTAGTCTGCAGTACAATCAACCAAATACCAGACTACTGTGGATTACCAGAAGATGCATTTAGGATGGGGCACAAGGGCATACTCTTAAAAAAAAAAAAATCCCCATCATCTGCTCTAACTGAATTACTGAGAAACACCAATACAAATGTCCTTGACATTTAATGCTTTAATTTAACTGTTACTAATATTTTTGCTTCTGCAGCATATTACTTATTTTCAGAAGTGTATTTAAAAAAAAAACACACCACACACACGCACCCCACAAAACACTCAATATACCATTTCTATTTCATTTGCTACCTTTCTTTTTTTGTTTGGACGATGATCTGAAGAAGTAAAGTCCATCTGTTCCTAACAAAACAAGGGAATTAAAAAGTAATGTCTGGTTTAACCCAACAGCTATAATTATTTCCATCCCAAAGATGACAGGGCAACAGTATAACTTACTAGCTGTAAATGAATAATTGGATGTTGTGCAACAGGAAAGAGGACATGTAGAAAAATGACTGTACATTCTGATTTACTGAAAGCTTGACCTGCTGGGCTTTTTCAAACAGGTTAAATAGATTAACGTTTTTGCTTTCACCAAATTAAACCGGACAAGAAATTTTACATCTGCTGTAAGGTTTGCAAAACTCATTAATATGAAAATACACACCTCTATTATACTTATACATTAGAAACTTTGGCTTGCATGGTGGTTACACTGCATTTCATTTAAGGTGATACAGGCCAACATGCAACTCTTCCAAAAGGTGGTCTATAATCTTTAGTGTGCACAACAGCTAAACACCTTAGGCCTTAGTGCAAAGATAGTACCTCCAAAAGCACTGTATGACAGCAGCAACGAACATGTCCCCATCCAACAGAACAGCATAGCACTCTCGGTAGACAAGATGCCACTTGAAATGTTTTCAGCCCCAGGAAGGTAATAGTTTTACAGTTACCTTTATTTTTTATATATATTTTTATATATATTTTTTGTATATATAAAAGGTAAGTAACGTGGTGTGCGCACACACTCTACTCAGAACAAAAAAAAAAAGCCATTTATAAAAATCAGAGAATTGTAAGCAGAGCTTACGAATATCTATATTCGTCACTCAACTGTCTTCACTATCATTACAGATCCAGCAGAGTTTCCTCACCATTTTTTAGATATCTACATGTGTGTGATGTTTGGCAGCACCTGATCGCAATCTCTATCTCAATTACTAGGGGCATTCTGCAGAAAATATTTGGGAGGCCAGTCACCCAGCAGAGACTACCTCACAGATGATTTGGTATGGTGCTAGATAACGGATATAATACACATTCCAGAAGTAAAGGTAGAAAGCTTGAAGTTCTATTACAAGGAGAAATGAAGAATTCTATTGGAGAAGTCCTCATAGTATTTTCCATCATGCATTATATAATCCCAATTTGCTCAACTCTGTCTGGCAAAATCAGACAGATTCTACCAGATCCCACTTATTCTCTCAATTATGGTTAAAAACATTAGCAGAAACAATTACTGCACTGAGACTTCCCAACCTTTAGGGAAAATATCTGCCAGAGAATATATTGTACACTTAGAGCTGTTCCAAAATTTGGCTTCTAATACATATACATCCCAATTTCAGCCTAAATACCGGTAGCCATTACTGACAACAATTTTTTCAAATACTCATTTAAAGACCAATGGTTAGGAAGCTTCATTCCCTTCCCTGACATGGCCAACTCAGTTGCTTATTACCATGTCTTTCTCAGAGCCAGTTCACAGTGACTGCTCAGGATGGGTTGACTGAAGGAAAAGCTATAAAGAAGGCTCGCGAGCGACAGTCTCCGTTCTTGAAATAGACATTAGTGTCCAGAATTAACCACTTCCTGAGGTTTTCCTTTTTTGATAACTTCAGTAGAAAACATCAAAGGAAACGCAATGGATCTAATTTACCTAGATTTCAGTAAGGTGTCTGATACCGTGCCACATGGGGAATTATTAGTTAAATTGGAAAAGATGGGGATCAATATGAAAATTGAAAGGTGGTTAAGGAATTGGTTAAAGGGGAGACTACAGTGGGTCATACTGAAAGGTGAACTGTCAGGCTAGAGGGAGGTTACCAGTGGAGTTCTGCAGGGATCAGTTTTGGGACCAATCTTATTTAATCTTTTTATTACTGACCTCAGCACAAAAAGTGGGAGTGTGCTAATAAAGTTTGCCGGATGATACAAAGCTGGGAGGTATTGCCAATTTAGAGAAGGACTAGGATATCACACAGGAGGATCTGGATGACCTTGTAAACTGGAGTAATAGTAATAGGATGAAATTTAATAGTGAGAAGTGTAAGGTCATGCATTTAGGGATTAATAACAAGAATTTTAGTTATAAGCTGGGGACGCATCAATTAGAAGTAACTGAGGAGGAGAAGGACCTTGGAGTATTGGTTGACCACAGGATGACTATGAGCCACCAATGTAATATGGCCGTGAAAGAAGCTAATGCGGTCTTGGGATGCATCAGGCGAGGTATTTCCAGTAGAGATAAGGAGATGTTTGTACCGTTATACGAGGCACTGGTGAGACCTCATCTGGAATACTGTGTGCAGTTCTGGTCTGCCATGTTTAAGAAGGATGAATTCAAACTGGAACAGGTGCAGAGAAGGGCTACTAGGATGATCCAAGGAATGGAAAATCTGTCTTATGAAAGGAGACTCAAGGAGCTTGGCTTGTTTAGCCTCACCAAAAGAAGGCTGAGGGGAGATATGAGTGCTCTCTATAAATATATCAGAGAGGGAGAGGAATTATTTAAGCTCAGTACCAATGTGGACACAAGAACAAATGGATATAAACTGGCGATTGGGAAGTTTAGACTTGAAATTAGACGAACGTTTCTAAACATCGGAGGAGTGAAGTTCTGGAACAGCCTTCCAAGGGAAACAGTGGGGGCAAAAGACCTATCTGGCTCCAAGATTAAACTCGATAAGTTTACGGAGGAGAAGGTATGATGGGATAACATGATTTTGCCAATTAATTGATCCTAAACTATTCATGGTAAATAGGTCCAATGGCCTGCAATGGGATGTTAGATGCGGTGGGATCTGAGTTAGTACAGAGAATTCTTTCCTGGGTATCTGGCTGGTGAATGTTGCACACATGCTCAGGGTTCAGCTGATCACCATATTTGGGGTTGGGAAAGAATTTTCCTCCAGGGCAGATTGGAAGAGGCCCTGGGGGTTTTTCACGTTCCTCTGTAGCATGGGGCACGGGTCACTTGCTGGAGGATTCTCTGCACCTTGAAGTCTTTAAACCATGATTTGAGGACTTCGATAGCTCAGACATAGGTGAGAGGTTTATTGCAGGAGTGGTGGGTGAGATTCGGTGGCCTGCATTGTGCAGGAGGTCAGACTAGATGATCATAATGGTCCCTTCTGACCTTAATATC